TCACACTTGCTGCGAGGGCCAAGGCGAGCCAAGTGCAGAGCGCACAGTGGTACATTCAATTACATAATTCACGAATTTCTCAGTCGTTTTTTAGTCAGGGACTCCAACAGGAAGTAGAATTATGAACCACTATAGTGAAGCTTAGCATCAGAACAGGAACCGGAAACTATATAAAAATCAAGCTAGCAATCATTAAAGGAATAACTATTTAAAAACCAAAAATGAACATTTTACCGAAGTATACATTAAATATTAATTAATTGATTATTATTTTTAATTTGTTATTAATTAATTGTATTTAATTTATTTTAAAATATATATTAATAATTATTATTTTTTCGTAATAATTAATTATTTATTTATTGTCGAGTGTAGTATTAAAATTTTCCCTCTGTATTTTTTAGACAGTACTATTTTTGCTAGTAGATAATTTTAGTAGTAGATATTTTTCATTAAATAAAAATCTGAAACCTTTGGGCAATTGTTCAAATTGGATATATATTCTTTTGGCAAATAAGTAGAGCCTTAGCGATATTTTTATTGTTACAGTAGTTGTAGATACTTGAAAGTACTTCTAAGTATGCCTCAACATTCCATTTAAGCTTACATAGTTATCTGGATTCATTTAGTTTATCTGGCTTTAACAAGATCTTATTTCAGAGTTTTTGGTTCATAATCGATTGGCAGTTTGTTCAGTTATAAATGTTGTGATATAAATGTTGGAAATTTATTTCAAGTTTGTGTTAAGTTTTTTTTTTTTATTGATAAAAGCCAAATTAAACACTGTAAATAGTTAGAGGTAATTCGCTCCCAACAAAAATAGTCAGAAATAATATAATTTGATGTTGTTGTAATATTAATTGCTTTTCCAGCCAAAATATATTAATATGATTTAGTTTTATATCAAAAATCAAATATATTGAATCAAACTACAGTTTTTTTGTGCCACGGTGCAGCGACAGCTCCATTTAGTCGCATCCTGTACTCCCCCCCTCCCAGCCTATAAAAGCGCCTGTCAATTTCAGCTGCTGCTAAAATTTGTTTTTAGTTCAATTTTTGGTCAAAATTCTGTGTCCAGCCGTGAAACTGGCCGCATCTATACGGGCTTGGCCTGTTCGGGCATATTTTATATCAGCTCTTTGGCTGCAGCATTTCCTATTGCACAATATTTTGTTTGTGCTCTTTCCCTTGATGACAAATTTCCATTTCTTTTTTTTTTTTGGTGGGGCAAGGGCTGCGCCGTGCTTGATAATGGAACCGAAACAGATATACATATATATAGACGCTGTGCTCCATTGAATCGGAATCGCTTTGGGGCCTCACAACGGCGCCTCTAATCGAAAAATTGCGCCACGTTTGTCGCACTTTTGGTAATTAAACTTGGCTGCGATGCATTTTATTGTCGGCCCTCTAATTAGAGAGAGACAGAGAGTTTAAGGGAGGGAGGTTGCGGGAGAGGCAGTAAGCGTAAGAGAGTTTAGCATCAGTTGTTAAATTTATTACGTAATTTAATGCATATTTAAATATATTGCTAGCCCATAACACAGCCATAAAATATGAACTATAAATTGAAATATAATACCAGCAAAGCGCTGTCATATCAGAGAGCAGCAGCAGCAACAGCAAAGCGACAGCTGATAACCCTCGACTGGCTCCTCATCTCCGGCATAGAGTTGTCTTTGTACTTGTGACTTTCTTTGGCTGCAGATAATTCATGGTGGGCTATGACTTCTCAGACTCTGGCGTAGATAACAACAAAGTACAACACGCAAACCGGGCAATTGTTGTCGTCTGAAGAGGTCGTTGTCGTTATATTATGTATACCAATGGAATGTTTATATATGCATGCGCTAAATATATATAGATTTAATTTAATTAACCCTTGATTCTCAAAAAATTATAAAATGAATCAAGTCATATCTCAAAAATTGACACTGGTATCTGAAAGGAGTCTAGATTAAGGTGCCAGGTGTTTTTCATGAAAAAATTGGCAATAAATGATTATCGTAGATTCTCAAAAATATAAAAATCTTAAGAAATTAAAACATATAGTTATGATAAAAGTAGACTTAGATTTCACAAACTTAGGAATGAGATTAGAGATTTGGTGACGCATTTGACAAAAAATAAATGTTTGAAGGTTTCGTAGATGCTCAAAAATATTTTTAAAAAAAAGTATGAAAAATGTAATTAAAAAAGAAAAAGACAAAAATAATCTATAAGACCAGTTTGATAAAAAGCTCAAGAATAATTCACTTCTTATGATTTTAGAAAGGTTTTAAAAAATGTATAAAACTAGGTATGCTAAATAAAATTTTAATACTCTTAAAATGAATCAATTTCTAATATAAAATTTCAACTTAAAAGCCAAGATTTGTATGAAATGGCATAGAGCATCAAAATCTCGTCAGTTTTTACACAGTTCGGCTTGGGTTGGGTAGCTTGAAAATATATGTATTTGGCCTAGTTACATTTTCCATTAAACTAAAACGTGTTATTACTGCGCTTAATAGAGCTTGTTCACTGATAACTGACAACCAGGCTGACAATTTTTGTTGCTGCTGATGAAAACAAAAAAGTGTCCTGCGAACTGATGCAGCAGCAGCGACAGCAACAACAGACTCCAAATAGGAAACCCGGGCGGCTACATGCCTAAATATGAGGTAGCAGTTTGCGTTGTTGCTATTTTTACAGCCTCGCACACACACACACACACACACACACACAGGCACACGCGTGAGGGAAAAAATAGTAAAATGGAAACAAGTTGAACAAGTTTCCGACACCTTAGCACCAGCCGAAAAAAAAAACAAAAACAAAAAAAAAAAATGGGAAACAATGCCAATGTGTTGAGACTTTGTCTTCGTCTGCGTTGTCGTAGAAACCTACTCAGAGCCAGAGCCAGAGCCAGAGCTGGTCAAGAGCAGGAGAAGATGTGGCAGGGGGCGGCGATGGGCACTAACTTAGTTACCTTTACGCTCTTGGTAAAAGCGAGGGGTGTGGGGCGTCTTTTTCTCCACCTTTGGCAATTCACTTTTATGCTTTGGCCTTTTTGTAGATTTGTTGCCGATGACGACTGGCCAGGACCTGCGAATTGAGTATTGAGAATGGGTGGGTTGCCACCACAAGCATCTGCCGTTCATGTGTGGGCGCGCTATGGGCGACTCTGTGTCAGTTAATGAAAAAGTTGGCATGAATAATAAATGCATTAGACGAAAACTTGCTGCATACAAACAAAAGTTTGTGCCCGTTGCATACATATGCGTTGTATAAATAATAAATTTTCAAATGCCACGCACTGTGGCAAAGTCAAGCACACACTGCGCCTCAGCTCGCCTAGCATTTGTGAATGGCCTTGGCCTTAAAGCAAAACAAATACGAAAAGGAGAACAACTGAAATTCAAACAGCTTCCAACTGAAGATACTTCAGATGCATATATAGAAATAGCACCCAATTGCTGTTCATGGCTTGTCTAAACAATGCCTGCACTAAATATAGCTTGGCTCTCTCTCTCTCTCTCTCTTACTTCACACACTTGAGCCGCCAGGCGAATTGCCTAATGTATCTTAAAGTGCGCGATCCCAACTGTATATCTTTATCTTTATCCTAGCAATGTGTTAAACATCTTTTAGCGTTGACAAAATTGCCTAGCAGACTGCCTGCCCCTGTGCCCTACCCCCGTTGCACGAACCGCCTTTGCACTGCAGCTGCAACAATTAGAAGTTGCCTCGCAATAGGAAACGTATCTGACGGATGCGCCTTCAAAGTTGTTGCTGCTGCTGCTGATGGCAGCGCGTGTGAGTTAAGAGCAACAACAACGACAATAACGAATGGAAATGCAGTTGAAAGCGGGAGAGAGGCAAAGATGGGCGACTCTCGACTGATGTTGAGCTAAAGAGCGCGGAGAGAGTGAGGAGTGAAAAGAGAGAGAGTAGCTTAAGATAGAACTTAATTAACATGAATTTGAGTTTTTATACAAATGAATAGAAATTATAAAGTTTTCGTGTTTTAGATTATATATATAAATAATTGATACCTAATTTTTCCTAACTAATTGCATAGAGTTTTCGGTAATACTATATTATATAAGCTTATAGAGACATAAGACTTTGCTTTGGCCATTGTGTGTTTTCTTTTTCAAAAGAAAAGTTTTACTATTATTATTAAATATCTTTTTTTCTTGAATTACTTCTTATCAAAAACAAAGCACATACATATGTCCGATGATATTGTTAAAAGTTTAGGTATGGGAAAAATTTGCGAATAATTAAGTTAAAAAGATTTGATTTTTCGTATAAATATTTAAGACGTATTGCATAATATATGCAATAATATTTATATAATAAATATGCGGGAAAGCTTAGGGTTAAGATGTGTAGCTTAGGCTAATTTTATTTTTGTTAATATTCTATTTTATTTCATTCAATTCTTTATTTCAATGTATTTTATTTCTGGAATCTCAAATCTCTTTATAGAAAATTATATCTTTAATTAAAAAACACGCATATATATCAACTTAAATTAAGCTTTATATATGCCTGCCCAAAAATTGGCCTTAATTCTTATAAATCTTTTGCTTATTCATAATTTTGCGTTCAATTCATAAATCCGAAATAAAAAGCCACTCAAAATGTGACTCAAAACTCATGCGCTCACATTCTCTCGCAAGTCGTGTCTCTCTTTTGCGGCGGCACACTAGCGCCATTTGGCCATGCAGCGGCAAGAAATGTAACTAACGCGAGAGCGTAAGAGAGCATGGGAGAGTGGCAGCGTGCGAGAGCCGTTTATATCGTGTGTGTTGTCGTGTTCGTTCTTAAACAAAAAACCCACCCGACGGGCATATGCGCCTCCTTCGTGCCTGTCGCGCTCTCTCGTTCTCACACACACACACACGCACACGGGCTCGTTTACACTCTCTGTATGTAACTGCACATTGTATCTGTGCAGTTGTTCGGCTGTTGGATATTCCTATCATCGGTCTACGGCCAGTTGGTTAAGCGAACCAACAAACAGTTCGAGTGCGAGCGCCGTACGGTACGGACGTGTGGAGCACGCACAAAATTCAAATAAAAACACAATACAAGAGAAAAAGAATCGCAAAGCGTTTCAAACGATGATGAAAATGAGAGTTGAGAAATTCTAAAATGAAAACATGAAATGAATATAAAATACAATGGTGAAGTGCATAAAATAATAAAGCAAAAATAAATACAAGTATTAAAAAATTCTTGTTCATAAGTGCTGTGCGTAGAATCGAAAGGCTATCAAAAATTGAAAGAAAAAAAAAAAAACGTAACAAAAAAACCAAATTAAAAATGTCAATTTCAATCAAAAACTGAGCAGTGAAAACGCGAAAAACGTAACGTGAAAAATATACAAACGTGTAATACCCAGGCAACAGCCCCACCACCCCAACCCCTTCAGATTCCCAACCCAAATCCAAGCCAGAACATGGAGCTGCGGCTACTTCTGCTGCTGCTCCTCCTAAAAGGCAGCTGCCTGTGCGCTCTGGCGCCCAAGGATTCGGCCAGCAGTGATAATAGCGCTGCCAGCCATGCGATGCTAGGAGGTGGCGCCGGCGCCGCCAGCGTTAGCCTCTCCAACGATTATAGCTCACTGCTGGCCGCCGCCATGCAGCCGGTGGCCTCGTCTCCGGCACCGGCACACAGCGGGCCAAGTAATCAATGCACCTGGACATATAACGGCACCAGTTCGGTCTACTGTGCGCTGCGCTTGATCGAGCGTCAGCCGGGCCTGGATTTGCAGGGTGCCGATGGCAGCAGCCAATTGACCATCAAATGCAGCGATTTGTATCTATTTGAATCGCAGCTGCCGATGGCTGTGTTTGCCCGCCTGCAAACGCTGGACACGCTGCGTCTGGAGTCCTGCAAGCTGCTGCAGTTGCCCAACAATGCCTTCGAGGGCTTGAGCACACTGAAAGCCCTGAAGCTGAGCACACGCAATGCCGAATGGGGCCCGGCCAAGGCGCTGGAACTCTACCCGGACTCGTTAAATGGACTGAAGCAGCTGACAGAGCTGGATTTGAGCGATAATAATTTGCGTGCCCTGCCCGCTGGCTTCCTGTGCCCCGTGGGCAATTTGCAAACGCTCAACCTGACACGCAATCGCATACGCACCGCCGAACAGTTGGGCTTTGCCGACATGAATTGCGGCAGCGGAGGCACTGGCAGTGGCAGCGAGCTTCAGCTGCTCGATGCCAGCCACAATGAGCTGCGCTCCATAACGGAAAGTTGGGGCATCTCGCGGCTGCGTCGCCTACAGCATTTGAATTTACAGCATAATAATATCTCGGAGCTGTCGGGTGAGGCGCTGGCCGGTTTGGCCTCGTTGCGTATTGTGAATCTAAGCAACAATCATCTGGAGACGCTGCCGGAGGGTCTGTTTGCGGGCAGCAAGGAGCTGCGTGAGATACACTTGCAGAACAATGAACTGTATGAGCTGCCCAAGGGGCTGTTTCATCGTTTGGAGCAGCTGCTTGTGGTCGATTTGTCGGGCAATCAATTGACCTCGAATCATGTCGATAATACAACATTTGCCGGACTCATACGTCTCATAGTGCTCAATTTGGCGCACAATGCGCTGACACGCATCGACTATCGCACTTTTAAGGAATTGTATTTTCTGCAAATACTCAATTTGCGCAATAATTCGATTGGCCATATCGAGGATAATGCCTTCTTGCCGCTCTATAATCTGCACACGCTCAATCTCGCCGAGAATCGCCTGCATACGCTGGATGACAAGCTCTTCAATGGCCTCTATGTGCTCTCCAAGCTGACGCTGAATAATAATCTTATTAGTGTGGTGGAGCCAGCTGTCTTTAAGAATTGTTCGGATCTCAAGGAGCTCGATCTGAGCTCCAATCAGCTGAATGAGGTGCCGCGCGCTCTACAGGATTTGGCCATGTTGCGCACCTTGGATCTGGGCGAGAATCAAATACGCACTTTCGATAATCAAAGCTTCAAGAACTTGCATCAATTAACCGGTCTGCGTCTGATCGATAATCAAATAGGGAATATAACTGTGGGCATGTTTGCGGATTTGCCACGTTTGAGCGTCTTGAATCTGGCCAAGAATCGCATACAGAGCATCGAGCGCGGCGCATTTGATAAGAACTATGAACTGGAGGCGATTCGCTTGGATCGTAATTTTCTTTCCGACATAAATGGCGTGTTTGCCACACTGGTCTCGCTGCTCTGGCTGAATCTCTCCGAGAATCACTTGGTCTGGTTTGATTATGCATTTATACCCTCCAATCTCAAGTGGCTGGATATACATGGCAATTATATCGAAGCATTGGGCAATTACTACAAGCTGCAGGAGGAGATACGCGTCAAGACCCTCGATGCCAGTCATAATCGCATTACGGAAATTGGCCCAATGTCCATACCGAATACCATTGAGCTGCTGTTCATAAATAACAATCTAATTGGCAATGTTTTACCCAATGCCTTTGTCGACAAATCCAATTTGGCACGCGTCGATCTCTATGCGAATCAGCTGAGCAAATTGCAGCTGCAACAGCTGCGTATCGCTCCGGTGCTGGCGCCCAAACCTTTGCCGGAATTCTATTTGGGCGGCAATCCCTTTGAGTGCGACTGCACCATGGACTGGCTGCAGCGCATCAATAATCTGACAACACGCCAGCATCCGCGTGTCATGGATATGCCAAATATTGAGTGCGTCATGCCGCATGCTCGCGGTGCTGCAGTGCGTCCGTTAAGCGCGTTGCGTCCACAGGACTTTCTCTGCCGCTACGAATCGCATTGCTTTGCGCTGTGCCATTGCTGTGACTTTGATGCCTGCGACTGCGAGATGACCTGCCCGCACAATTGCACCTGCTATCACGATCAGATTTGGTCCACCAATGTGGTCGATTGCGGCAATCAGTTGACCATGGAGCTGCCGCGTCGTGTGCCCATGGACTCGAGCATTGTCTACTTGGATGGCAACAATTTCCCGGTGCTCAAGAATCACGCCTTCATTGGACGCAAAAATCTGAAGGCCTTGTATGTGAATGGCAGCCAGGTGGCAGCCATACAAAATCGCACTTTCGCTAGTCTGGCCACACTACAGCTGCTGCAGCTATCCGATAATCGCCTGCAGACGCTGCATGGTTATGAGTTTGAGCAATTGTCCGCCCTGAGGGAGCTGTATTTGCATAATAATCAGCTGGCCAACATTGAGAATGGCACGCTGGCGCCGTTGGTCTCCTTGGAGCTGCTGCGTCTCGATGGCAATCGCCTGGTCACACTGCCCATCTGGCAGCTGCATGCGACACACTTTGGTCAGCGATTGCGCGCCATATCGCTGGGGCGCAATCAGTGGAGCTGCCGCTGCCAGTTCCTGCAGGCGCTCACCTCCTATGTGGCAGAGAATGCGCTGATTGTCCAGGATGCACAGGATATCTACTGCATGGCGGCACCGAATACGGCGGCTGCAGCTTATGCGGACAGCAGCTCGATGGGCGCTGGCACACAGAAACGGGAATTGGATTTCAATTCAACTGGTGCGGCCTGCACCGACTACTATTCGGGTGGCTCTATGCTGCAGCATGGCATACCCGAATCCTATATACCGCTGCTGGCGGCCGCCTTGGCGCTCATCTTTCTGCTGGTCGTCATCATCATTGTGTTTGTCTTCCGGGAATCCCTGAGAATTTGGCTTTTTGCGCATTACGGGGTGCGCGTGTTCGGGCCACGCTGCGAGGAATCGGAGAAACTCTACGATGCCCTGTTGCTGCACTCCGCCAAGGATTCGGAGTTTGTGTGCCAGCATCTGGCCAGTGAACTGGAAACGGGTCGGCCGGCGTTGCGCGTCTGTTTGCAGCATCGGGATTTGGCACACGATGCCACACACTATCAGCTGCTGGAGGCGAGTCGTGTGTCCCGGCGTGTTGTCATCCTCTTGACACGCAATTTCCTGCAAACGGAATGGTCACGCTGTGAGCTGCGCCGATCCCTGCACGACGCACTGCGCGGTCGCCCACAGAAGCTGGTCATCATTGAGGAGCCCGAGGTGGCCTTTGAGGCGGAGAGCGACATTGAGCTGTTGCCATATTTGAAGACCTCGGCGGTGCATCGCATCCGGCGCACCGATCGTCATTTCTGGGAAAAACTGCGCTATGCTCTGCCCGTCGACTATCCCACCTATAGGGGCAACAACTATACGCTGGACCATAATCACGAGCGCATCAAGCAGCCGGCCAGTCCGGGTCTGCTCTATCGCCAGGCACCGCCGCCTGCCTACTGTGGCCCGGCGGAGGCGGCGGCGGCTGCCGTGGCTGCTGCTACTGCTGCCGTGGCTGAGCAAAATTATTCCACGGCTACGACGGCCACGCCCAGTCCCAGACCGCAGCGACGCGGTGAACGTGAGGGTGTGGGCGTGGCTGTTGGCGTGGGCGTCAATCCAGGGGGGCCGCATCATTTGCATGCACAATATTATCAACACCATGGCATGCGTCCGCCCTCGGAGCACATCTACTCCAGCATCGATTCGGACTATTCCACGCTGGACAACGAGCAGCACATGCTGATGATGCCAGCTGCCGGAGCAGCAGCTTCGCTCGAGTCACAGCAGCGGGCACAGACCTGGCGACCACAGCCCAAGCAGCAGCTGCAGACGGCACATGCGGGCACACTGGGTCCCAGCACAGCGGTCAAGTCCAATCCTCAACAGCAGCAGCAGCAGCAGCAGCAGCAGCAGCAACAACAGGCGAGTGGCCAACAGCAGGGCCCACATGTGCAGGCGTATCTGGTATGAAGAGAGAGGGACAGCGTAAGGTAAAGCAGGAGACGCATTAAGTGAAAGAGAAGCAGATATATATGTTGGAGGATGCCTGTCCAGCATTTGGACAGAGTGACAGTGATTTCTATAGGGACTGGTTCCTGGTGCATCATTTTAATTACTAAATTATGTGCGAGCTAAAATTAAGAGAAAGGGCGAGAGACAGCAAAGGGTGCATTAGAAAAGGAGACAGAGACAAAGAAAGAGAGAGTGTGAGTGGGAGTGGGAGAAAGAGAGAGAACAAGTGCGAGTGCGAGTGCAAGGCAGCTAAAGTAAATTATAAATTCTGTCTACAGTCCAAAATTGCAGTTATACAAACCCAAAGAAAAACCTAACATGGCGCACACACTAAAAACGAACAACCCCGCACCCAGCCCCCAGCTGTATCCCCCCCCCCCCCCCCCCCGCTTCAACCCCATTCAGGAAGTGCGCGCAGCGTAACAAATATTTTGTTTACCCAGTGTAAAGTCATTTTAGTGCACTGTACAAACATAAATCCAAGTACATTAAACACATAGACATACACGACCAAAAGATACAGATACAAACTAAAAGATACAAATACAGTTGCACTTGCATTTGTTTGTGTTCTGTTTGCTGTGTTGTGTGTGTTGTGTGTGTTGTGTTGTGTTGTGTTTATGTAGTAAGTCGCATGTGTTGCACGAATTGTGCTTAGGGGCAGGGAATAGTCAGAATGGGTAGAGGGGGGGGGGGGGGGGGGGCGTGGCAATGTCAAATTGTTGTTGTGTGAGCTAAAATGAAGTTTCCACAAAGTTCAGCTGCAGTTGCAGAAAACTTTTGCCAAACAGCATTTTCATTCATTCATTTTCCCTTCAGAGCTGCAAAATGCGTTTAGTGCATTTGCCAGCTAACTTTTTAATATGCTTTTAATCAGTTAGACCAAGCAACAAGCTTAAGATTTATAAACAGCACAAAGATTTTGTATCTCAAATGTCCGTCTATTTAAACACGCTTTGACAGTTGACAAGGTGACAAGGTTTAAATAATGCTAGCAAAGTTGATTTCATTTATAAAATAACTAATCGTTTAAAATTGGCAGTTTGATTTCTTAGAAATCTGGCATTGACATGTAAATTAATTAATGCAACATGTTGTAATAATTTTGGTTATTTTTCATCATTTTTTCCTTCCAATTTCACAATCTAAACAGTTTTCTATCTTGAAATCATTTTATAAAATGTGCTGCCAAGATTTGTTTAACTATCTTTAAAAAAAAGCTAAAGCAAACTTTTATTTGACTATTTCTATAGAGCTTTAAAAAAAAAAACTGCCGCCTATTCTTTGCTCTGCTCTGCACCCTTTGCTCCCCCTCCCCTAAAGCGCAAATCCTTGTATATGTATATAAAGAAAAACACGCCTAAAATAGTTATATAGATATGCCTAAATCTAAGTAAATGCCACTGCAAATACGTAGTCTCCTACAATTAATTCAATACACACATACATCTACACTTACACACACATGCAGAGAACTTGAATTTGTGTAAAAAAAAAAGAAGCATTCAACAATTAGCTAGCAAACGTATAAAACTCTAAATAATAAAAAAAACTATGCAGTAAAGCTCATTTTAAACACTTACGCTTACCAAAATATTGTAATAATTATAATAATAATATCGATATAAAATAATAATAGAAGTTTCATAAATGGGTTAAAACTACATGGCGTATACACAATATAAACACATGCATAAAAAAATACTAAATATATATATATATATATGTGACTGTAAAAACAAAAGAAAGTACTAACTGATATTATAAAAAACAAACCTATATGAGATAAACTTTATATATATATATATATGTATACATATATCCATATATATGGTATATGCACAAGAGTAAATGTTTAACAACTGCCTATAGCAAGTACGAAAGATACCAACACTTAAGAGCATTTATTTCAAAGCAACAACAAAGTAAACAAAACAAAAAATTATGAAAATTAAGAAAATTACGTATGTATGTATATGTCATATTTTGGATCATAAACTCGCCTACTCGTCATACAGTTTTAGCAAAACAGTTTCAAACTAAGCAGCATATAAATAAATACAAATAAAACAAAAAAAAAAACAAGCGAAGCAAATTAGAAAGAGTTAGCAGAAGTTAGTTAGCTAGAGACAGAGAGAGAGAGAGAGAGAGAGGGAGAGAGAGAAGCAGTGGAAGTTGTGGAGAGAAGCAAACACTTGTACCAGTATGAAAGCCCAAAACTGTTATTTATTTTTTATTTTGTAATATATAATATACCTTAAAAAACAATGCTAAGTTCTAAGTTATAATTTAATGCCACTCTTATATATATATATATAATGTACTCTATGAATAATTCGAATTCTTGTGAATAACTATTTATATATTGATATATATATATATATATTATATATATATATATAACTATTATATACATCTATGTACGACAAAACAAAGATATTTTTCTGTTTCGCAAGCGAACAAATGCAAAATGAAAAATGAAATGAAAAACCTTTTTTTAAAAACTAAACAAATTTGTCAGTTTTATATGTTGAGAATTTGGGTTGGGACTCCGAGTTTATAATTGGGGGGTTTTTTTTTAAGGCACTTACTTAAATATGTATTTTGAGTAAAATGTATAATCAAAGGTAAATTCCAAATGATGTTGATTCTTTTTTGCAGCTTATTAAATATTTATTTATAAATAATAATGTGTTCCATAGCCAGAAACTCAAGAAAGAACTTTTCTTGTTAACTCTATATTGATGTTAGGCTGAACTTCTTAGTTTACTATTCGCTTGTAGAGTGTATTCATAAGGTATATCATATCAAGAAGACGTCTCAGCATCCATTAAGCATATATATTCTAGGTCAGTTGATATAGCCAAGTACATCTGTCCGCCTGTCTGTTTCTATGCCTACTAATCTGTCAGTCTTGAGGCTCTCGTCTTGAAACTTTGCATAGGTCCGACTTTCTTATAGCGTCTAAAGGAACAACTGGTCGAAAAGCAGGTAATTTTACGGTAAACTCTTCTGTTTTCCAAGGTACTTTAATAAAACTAAGCATTTACGAGCCTCAAAAGGCAAATATCGACAAGGGTATTAAATTGGCAAAGGGACGAAGATTTCCTTTCATGAACATATATTTTTTTTTAAATCCTAACCAATATCAAGTGTTTTTTTTACATTTTATTACAAAATTGTTGAGCCAGATTTTCTTTTTACAAACAGAGCTCATTTTGTAAATGCAAAAACTTAAAACTACATTTGTTAGTATTTTGCTCTGCTGCTGTTAATGTTGGGGCAGGTTTTTAATATGTGAAAAACCTTTTATAATAAAACGAAAAGCAAGCCGCGTTTTTGATAATGAGAAAAGACTCTGTTCCATCAGTCGCTTGGTGTTTTACAATTTCAGACAGGTTTTTAAGTTAGTTTTTTCTTTTAAATATATTTTTTTGCTAATTTAATTCATCATGCACATGAGTTGCTGTTTTGTAATCCTCACGCAGTGCGGCAACCCTGTCGAATGGTGCGGTGCTTGCGGGGAGGGAGATGCTGCACGCAGTCGGCGGCCTGTCAAAGTCAACTGAGCAAACGTAACTCAGATACACGCCGCGCACCAAAGTGATAAATCATTTTTTGTTTTCTCCCTCACTCTCTATAATGTAAATATATGTGTATATATATAAAATATATGAAACCAAAATACAAATGCGCCTCGCATTGCAGACATATTCCATGCCTCCAGCCCCCCTTTACCCTTTTACCCTATACCCTTTCATAGTTCTACAGTGGTTGGTGCTCTCGGTATGGTCCGCTCTGTCTGGTTGTCAGTTGAGTTTTGCGGAGTGTTTGTCTGCCTAAATGACGGCATGTCTGTGCATCAAATTGAAGGGTAGCAAGCACACATACACACACACACACGCACACACTCATAGAAATTCTCATAGTCGCTTAGGCACATTCTCTACGACGGTCTTTTTTTTTTTTTTTGCATTTATGCCAAGCTCAGCTTCTCGAGTGCTACCAAAGTGCGTTATGCGGCCAAAAAGAGCTGAGTAAGTAAGCAGTAGGCGCTACATTTGATGCCCACAAGTGGCGGCAGAGTTGGTAACAGTATTACAGAACGCGTTAAAAAGAAAAAGATACTTGAAAAAAGACACCGACTTTGTCTTTGCCAAGCATTGGACGACCTTAGAGTGGCTTGTGGTAAGGTTTAGGTCTACCGAAGTGGTTTATAACAGGTTAAAGAACTGTCATGTGCTACAAGGCACAGGTAAGGATAAGGTGTAATAGGCTAAAAAATGTATATTAAACTTAAACTTTGTATATGCGTCGCCTCAATTTAATAGCTAAAATTGCTGGCCGAAACTGGGCAAATTAAATAAGAAACACGTAAAAATCAAGCAAAAGAAATAAGTAAAATTGTATTTGGCTCTTGCGAAATTCTTTTGCGATTTTCCATTCTTAACAACTTCACAAAAGAAATTTGAAATTTTAAGTAAATAGTAAGTTGACCGGCTCAAGGTCAGTGTTGAACATAACGACCAACAACACAAAGGTGCAAACACCAAGAGTGGAGCCGGTTGTCTGTGTATCTATGTTAAGTTGTATCATTATCCATTCCCGGTTCCATGAATGGCAGACTTTTCCATCGAGTCTAGGTTTGCAAGGCATTGTTTTAACTCAAAGTCTATAACAACTTGAGAACTAAACCAATAAGACGGCGACAAAGCTGGCAAAACCATGATGCTGCTTATATAAAAACCAATTTTAATTACAATTTCAATTATGTAAGGTTTTTAAAGTCAATTCTTAAGTATATTTAGAAATTACAATATTATTTTATTGCATGTCTCAAAAGTTGTATTTACTTATAATTTTTAGAGTTACTTTCTGCACGTATAATTAATATTATTAAAAGTTATTAGTTAGAGCATTTATTTTCTTACCTATCTAATTGATTGATATTGAAATATAAAATTTTCTGAGCGAACGTTCCATTTATTTACTTCTTTAGTTGTACTTAAATAATTAAAATAAAAAACAAACGAGCTAAAACTAAAAGTGGTTAGTACATTTTATATATGCACACTTAGAATATACAAAACTATTGTGTTTGTAATTAAAGTTAATTCACAAAATTTCATTACCTTAGTAATTAATTTTTATTGCATCTTCCCATTCTTTACTTGTGTTGCCCACATTCTCTTTATTTTAGTTCGAATTGAGTGCAAAAAAGTAGCTAAATTTTTGCACAACAAACAGTTGCACTCGATTTCGTTGGCAAATGGAAAAACGATTTTAAAAATAAAAGAGGGGAACCT